TGTTTCTTGCTGTTTGTCTCTGCCTTTTTAGTCAATAAGATAAAAGACAAATAGCAAAAAACAGAAAACAAAAAGCACATTGTAAAATTAGCCTAGTGTACGATTTTTATTATTTTATCCCAATCAAAAATGAATAATGCACTGTGGCATGAACAGATATATCAAGATATATAAAAATAGATATTATTCAAGATATATATCTTAAAATAATTGTGAAATTCGATGCTTTCTCCATTCACTCTTCTTTTTTTCTTCCTCTTTATAATTTCTATTCCTGTAAATTCCAGATCACAGTGGGTATTTCCATTTAATGATACAAGTGTCCTTCTATCTTCTTTGTCACTCTCTGAATCAATAAGGCAGGGTTACCAAGTCGAAAAGAATAATTTCCTTAGAATTTGTAGTAAAATTTCTCGAGAAAATTCTTGAAAACAAAGTATGAGAAATTACTGAGAAATTCCTGAAAAAGTAGAAAATTTTATAAAAATTTAAGGAAAGAAATCACAAAATTCTTGAGAAAAAAATTTCCAAAAATTATTTTTTTATTTTATGTTTAGTAAATAATGGCACAAATTGGAGTGTAAACAAATTATTTTATTTTAATAATAAGTACACAAATACACAAATATAACATTATTTATATAATGTTGCGAATTATAGAACTAATAAAAACAAATTAAAATGTATTAAAATATTCTTAGACGTAAACATTTAGAAAGAAATATACTCTTAGCAAGTTTAACAAAGTAATATCACATCAAATTTAAAATCATATTTACTTAATAGAAATAGGAACTTTCAATTATATGTTAACTTAGTATCATCTTATATGTATGTACATACATTATAGAAAACAAACCAAGGCCCTATTGAGCACATATGAATAATTTTCGCATATGAAAATGATAGTTTCTCGATTGTGATTGGCCGATTGTATATTGCTGCGGAATTGCTATTTTCGTATGCGATATCTATAAGTAATCTATTGAAATTCGTTAGAGAATCTCTACAACGCACAACATGTAGTTGCAAAATATGTAATTTTCATATTTTATAAATTTCATAAGAATTGTGTTGTAATTTGGTAAAAAAATTTCAGTAAATTTCGACTAAAATTCTGTTTTCCTATCAATTCATTAAATTTCATTGAATCTCAGGAAATTTCCCAAGACTTGGCAACAAGGGTAGACGCTTGTATCGATTTGTGCCATCAAATGGAAAGCACCCAGTATCACGACATGAGACCTGCTCTTTTTGGCTAAACTTTTGTGCCAGTGTGCACCAGTCTTTTTCTTCTCTTCTCCCAAAGAAAAGATCATAGGATCATATTTCCGATTGGCTCATGTTAGCTTGCCATAGCTATGCACGGCATTACAATGTAAGGAAATGGCGCGCTTATTGAAAAATTTGTAGATATGAAATAACGCAAAATATTTTTTATTGATATATAATCATCTTTTATTGATATAAAATTTCAAATGAAAACAATTTCAAACAAAATATAAATTTAAAACAGTAACATTATTTAATGATGAGTGCATCGCCATAGTTTTACTGCTATATATTTCTTTTAAATATTTGTGCTCGCAAGAAATACGCATTCTAAATGTAATGTAACTTTTTTTTATTTTTAATAATAAATCATAGCAATTTTTCATACTAGGACAACTTATATTTTGCATTTTATTCATAAAAAAATTTATAAAATTACATTGTGTTGTTTTCCATCAAATTAATCAACAATTTTTCGTTTAATGTCGTATTATTAACGTCAATCTAAAATGGACAATACTATAAATTATATATTAGTGATATAAATTGTAAAAATTATGCCCATTTCCATCAATGTAGATTAACTTTAATCTTAACGTCTTTTTCTAATCTTTAGAAAAAGATGAAGAGTAAGTTAAATCAAGATTAATCTACATATCTACATATTATAAAATTAATCTATGATGAAAATGAGCAATACACACATATAAATATTATTGTAGACTATGATAAAAATTACATTCACAGTAGAATCCATTCGAGGAGTATGTATATATCTATTTTCCATGAAAAAAATCGTTGGAATTTCATAACATCAATTTCTTTTTGCCGTTCCCATTTAATGCAAAATGTGTCTGTCCAATATAAATAATTTATATAAATAATTTTATTAGTACAAAATTAAAAAAATAGTAATTATAAGCTCTCAATATTTAAAATCAATATTAACAAAGATTGTAAATGTTGCAAATGACAACAAATAAAGCTTATCTTGCATACATCATAGATCTTTAAAGGATGTGCATCAAGTTTATTAATGTTCTTTAGTCATTGCCTTCTTCTCTCTATGTTTTGGCAAGCGTTGAATATATCTTTTTTGAAGAATTGGTACACTTGGTACACAATAATAAGTCTTGTATTCTATAAATAAATTACATTTCAATAGTACTTTTATATATAATATATAATTAATAATAATAATTAATAAACTGTAAACATTATTTTAAGGATTTATATTAGAGAGTAAATGATATTATATGTGCTTTATTCTTTTAAAACATGTAATAATGGATTTTATAATTTTTTATTATTAATTATATATTTCAATTTATTCACTTACTTTCTTATAATAATGTCTTGTATATATACATATAGTATATATGTAACTTTTTATAATAAGACACATGGAGTATTGGTAGATCTGATCTCAACAAACAAGAATGGATTGAAATGAATTGAAATGGATTGAGGTTTTTCAGAAATATTATATAAATTAAATATGATTCATGAATATTAAAATGAATGCTTTTAACCCATTTTTATTTATTTATAGGAATTGCATGAAGCATATCTCTATGCCTTTCAATTTAGAAATAATATTAACTTTTTCTGTTATGAATACTGTTTAATTCAAAATTTTAAATAGGAAATACAGTTTTTCCAAAATTGCATCCAATTGAATGTAATTGAATCCAATTAAATTTAAAAAAAGTATTCGCTATTTAAAATACGCATTCGGATAGAAAAAAATTTCAATTCATTTTAATCCATTCTCGTTTACTGGGTATCTCTATTGATAATTAAACTCGGATGATATCATTAAAATCAGTTTTAAATAAAAATCGAATATTATTAAATTTTAAACATGTATACGTATCTATAAAATTAATAAATTATGAAATTAGTACTGTATTATTACCCAGCAAGAATGGATTGAAATGAATTGAAATGGATTCAGATTTTCAGAAATATTGATTCACGAATATTAAAATGAATGCTTTTTAATCCTGAATGCATTTTTATTCATTTATAAGAATTACATGGAGCATATCTCTATGCCTTTCTAAAAATAATATTAGCTTTTTCTGTGCAAAAACACACAATGTTGTGAATATGTTCAATTCAATATTTTGAATAGGAAATGCAGTTTTTCAATCTAATTGCATCCAATTGAATCTAATTGAATCCAATTAAATTCAAAGAAAAGTATTCGCTATTGAAAATACGCATTCGGATAGAAAAAAATTTCAATCCATTTTGATCTATTCTCGTTTGCTGGGTAGTTTATTACTTAATCACTTAAATTTCAACAGATACGCAAATTTCCATAAGTGTCGAGGATCTTTAATAGTATCTCGTTGATGACATCGTAAAGCTAACATATTTGTTTTCATTCAATACTGGGTATTGTAGCGTTGCAAGCATTAGGGGCTTCGCACAATAAAAAGAACAGGGAACAGAGAACAGAGAATAAGAATTTCAACCTATCAGAAACTGTGTATTCCACAATATATGATTTCTGATAGGTTAAAATTCTTATTCTCTGTTCCTTTTATTATGAAGCCTTAAAGCCATTCTACATAAACTTCCAGCCGTATAAACGTGTGCATAAAGAAAACATCCAATCTTACGTATTTTATGTCTTTATGACAGAAATGTGATTGGATAATTTTCTTTATGCATATGATTATGTGGCTATGCAAGTTTGTGTGGAATGGCCTTTACACAGCTTATGTAATCAGGGGATCAATTCTGTATCTTGAAACGAGGTGAAAATTACACAAGTGAGCAAATTTACTAGGTATGAACCAATGAAATTATCAGTATTCTAATAAATTCATTCACTTTTGTAATTTTCGATCCCCAGGGCTCCTATTCTTGAACATATGAATAATTTTCGCATACGAAAATGATAATTTTTCGACTGTGATTGGTCGATTGTATACGAAATTGTTATTTTCATGTGCGATATTTATTTAAGAATGGGGCCCCAGCGGTCACAATATGGCTATTTTACTTAAGAGGGGGTAACCAATCAGAATACATATGACTGCTAATCAAAAACTCGGATCATCAATTTTTTGGGATCCCTTTATATATAGGACTCATTGGCTATGTTTCAAAATTTCGAAGAAAATTTTTTATTGACATATATAGTACACGTAACGTATACTATAGCATATAAAGTAAAATCCTCGGAGAGGAAGTTTTGGAATGCATGATCTACATGGGCAGTAACAATTGATTAAGAAGTAGGCGTAGAAATCGACTAATCATAGTTGATTATTTTTCTCATTCAACTATGATTAGTCGATTCCTACGTCGATTTCTACGTCTTCTTAATCTACTGCCCATTGTAGACCGTGCAGAACATAGTCCTGATACTACAAATGCTTCGAAGCATTTTTTGGTCAATTAATAAAATTCTTTTTTCCAATTGGTCAATTAAACGCTTCAAAACATTTGTAGCGTCAAGTGAATCGCATTCTCTATCTAGAATAAACGAATGATAGTGACAGTAACTGCATAAACGAATGCATCCAATAGATTTTTTAAGCATTTAACCATAAGAAATGGACGAATCATAGTCGATTATTCTTCTCGCATTCAACTGTAATTGGTTAAATTTTACGACCGGGAGTGTGGGAGGTGTGTCTATCAAAGTTGGAGTCACAAATTATGCCGTATGATTCATGACAGTAAATGATAATGATTTCTGTAACCTTAGCTTCACTGTGAGATATTCATGTAGAGATACAAATATCGATCTAAAATAGTTGGATAGTCGTTTCGATTTTTAGAGTGTTTTTTCTGACATTTCATGCGTGTGCGTTTTTCATTGGTGACATCGTTCTGAATAGCTGATACACGATGGACGTCTTAAACAAACTTCGTAATACAGTTAGCAACACTATCACTAATACTGTCCAAAATACAGCATATGGCTTATCGCAACTGTCCAGTGTTCTCCCTGGCAATCCAGTCACCAGAGAGTTTGAAGCAACTGCTCATGTGGCGAGTGCTGGGCCAGGATTGCTGTGGAAGATCTACAGCGGCTACAAGAAATCCACCAAGCAAGAAGCAGCAATTTTTGTTTTTGAAAAGCGTTTGCTGGAGAGATGGTCCTCCAGGGCAGATCGGGAGCTCGTGCTAGAAACTCTAAAACGGGGTGTTATGCAATTGACAAAGTTGAGACATCCACAGGTTTTGATTGTACAGCATCCATTGGAAGAATCAAGGGACAGTTTGGCATTTGCGACTGAACCAGTGTTTGCTAGTCTGGCTAATGTATTAGGTAAACTTTATATAAATTTTATAGAAATTGAATGTATTTTTCAGTAAGAGACACAAGTGATATAATGTAAAGTCTAATTTACAAATATGCTCTTTGTTTCTTTTTCTTGCTTTTTATTTCTGCTTTTTATCTCTTGTTTTTTGTTTTATCCTTCTTTGTTTTCTGCTACAAGATAAAAATTGGTAAACTTTGAAATTGATAAGAAATGCATGATATAATACACAATTGATAAAATAATCAATAGAGGGAAAAGCTAAGAGACAGAAAGCAAGAAACAGAAAGCAAAGAGATTGTAGTTTAGGCTTAATACAAATATAATTATTTTATATTTGTTTTATATTGTTTTATATTTATTTGACATTTGCAAACAATAAGGACATAATGATTCATTATATTGTCTGTGTTTCTTGCTGAGAAGCACTCTAAATTACATTTTGTAATGTTTTACTTGAAGCTATTTTAGTAAGGATATATGTGAAATACATTGTAGGTAATTACGAGAATATACCTCAATCAACTCCAGCAAACTTGAAAGGTTACAAGTTGCTTGACATAGAGATACGATATGGATTGCTGCAACTGGGAGAAGGTTTGGCATTTTTGCATGGTGATGTGAAATTACTACATAGGAATTTATGTCCAGAATCGATTGTTATCAATGTTCATGGAGCTTGGAAGATATTTGGTTTTGATTTTTGTGCCTTAAATCAGAATTCAGATGGTAAACAGGTATGGAATTTCATTAAGTGATGAGAATATTTGTCGGTTATATTTTAATATAACAAACTAAGAAGACTAATATAATATAATGATTATGCTATAGTCTATATTTTATAAATCAAAAATAGATTCATATAGCAATTATTATTAATTAAATCATTTATTTTATCAAATAAATATTGGGATTGATGATTGTACTTTGCATTTCCATGAATCACCTTTTTTTTATTGCAGTCATCATGGTCTTATCTTGAATATGATTCTACGCTCCCTGCGGTTGTTCAACCTCAGTTAAATTACCAAGCGCCAGAGTGTATTTTAGCAAGTAGTAACGGACCATCTAGTGATATTTTTGCCTTGGGTATACTGATATATACGATACATTCTTCGGAACATCAACCGCTGCAGGAATTTCATAATGATTTCGGAAAATGTCGATGTTTCTTGGAAAATTTCAAGGGATGTAATGTCTCGGCAAAACTTCTTCCAATCCCTGATTCACTTAGAGATACTGTAAAGCTCATGTTGAGTCATAATCCTGAATTACGATTAGATGCTCATCAATTTATCAAAGTAACTTACTTCTAAATAATTTCCTGTGAAATGTATTAAATTTGCAAAATTTGTTTTAAATAATTGAAAGTATATAAAAAAATATTTTGAAAATAAAAAATATTCTTAAAATAATGATTATTTACTCCATTATCATAAATTGCAGATCGAATATTTCACAGACATTGGCGTAAAAACGTTAAATTATTTGGACAAATTATTTCAATGGGATAATCTTCAGAAATCGCAATTTTACAAAGGTCTTCCACAGTTATTAAAACAATTGCCACATAGAGTTGTGCTACATAGAGTATTACCTGCTCTTTATAAGGAGTTAGTTAATCCACCTATGATACCGTTTGTATTGCCGAATATACTGCAAGTAATGGAAGTTTCCGAGATAGAAGAATTCCGAGAACATATCTTACCCAATCTAAAACCTGTTCTTGCTTTGGAAGATCCACCACAAGTAAGTATATATTTTCCTCACAAGTAGAATAATGAAATGATATAATAAAATAAAAGTAAGAAATAATGATGATAAAATCCTTGTACAATGAATAAATTTTTTTTATAGATTAGCTTGGTTCTCATGCAACAAGTAAACTTGTTATTAAAACTGTGCCCCACGGATGTAATTAAGACCGACATAGTGCCTATGTTATTGCATGCATTAGAATCCGAATGGGAACAGCTCCAAGAACTCTGCCTATCGGCATTACCAAATATTGTGACGATGATTGAGGGACCAGTTATAAAAAATGCCATACTTCCGCGGATGAAAAAAATATGTTTGTCGCCAGGAAAGAAATCTACTAGTCTTGGAGTACGTGTTAATTGTTTGCTATGTCTCGCGAAAATGTTGCCGAGCTTTGATCGTTGGTTGATATTCGATCAGATATTACCATTCCTCCAAGAAGTTCCTCATTCTGGCGAACCAGCAATTTTAATGGCTATTATTGGTAATATATTTTACTAATACAGAACTATAAAAAAATAAATTTTTAATATATTTTACATTTATTGTAATCTGCTCAATTTTATTGGAAAGATTGAAAAAAATATTTTTCTTTATGTTGCTAGGTATTTACAGAATGCTACTTACTCATAGTAAGCTAGGTATGGGCAAAGAAATATTGGCAACAAAGGTACTACCGTTTCTGTTACCCCTCTGTATAGAGCAAAATCTTAGCATGTCGCAATATGAGACACTTTCCATTCTTGTCGTCGATATGATAAATCGAGTAACTAGCGAACATCGAGAGGCATTACGTCAATTGAATGCTATGCGTCGTGAGACGCAACAACTCGATCAAGCGCTTTCACAAGTGACTTCACCCACCTTTATGCAAAACAATAGTTTAAGCGACATTAATTTAACGCACCAAATGCTGTTCCCGAATGCTAATTCTAATTCTAAGACTGTAAATATTGAGAATGGATTAACCATCGAAGACAAGTTCAGGTATATCTTGACTATATTTGAAAGACTTAATATATTTTCTTTAAATATATTCGCATAATCATTAATTGTAATATTAAAACATTGATAATTTTTTTTCTAGGTTGATTCAACAACAAGAAATGCATCAAAGAATACAGTCTCAACCTATGTTAACCCCTAAAGCCGTACCACAATCTTTAAAATCGCAACCAAAGGATTTGACTGCGACTTTGCTAAAAAATAATCTAGATGAATTAAATTTGTCAATGTCAAGATCGACTATGTCACAATCGACTGCTAAAAATATTGCACATAAATATAATGACATTAGTCTAACGCAATCGCAATTTTTAACGTCTCCGACGCTTAATTCGCAATCAATGTTGAATAGATCAATGAATTGGAATTCCAATGGAATGAGTACACCCATGAACTGGAACTCGCCACAATCCTTGGTGTGGAATTCTATCGCTCCTCAGAATAACGTAAATTTTGCGACACAACCAGAGATTAAGCCAAACTTAAACTTTCCTGGAACCTTGCAGCCTCTCACATCACCCATTAATACGCAAACTAATGTAAACAAATCTAATTCATCCACGCAAGATATCATGGATTTACTTAGTTAATAAATTGAAATATCTTTAAAGTTATCGCTAAGATAACAAAGAGATGTTAGAGAATAATATGAAAACGATGCAGTGATTGCAATACATAGGGTGCATTCAGTACTACAATCGCTCACTGAGCGCTCGGTGAGTAGTCGTATATAATATTAAATGTACCCATAGTTTTTCGTCTAATATGATTGATTTCGAATGTAATATTTTCGAAGATGAAAGTCACTATTATATAATAAAGAGTGTAAAAAAAAAGTAGATCATCTTTTGTATCAGTACCAGCGAGAAAAAGATTGCAATATTAGATAACAATCAATATTAAATAACAATTGTTTTACATATTTTATATTGAGACTGTTCTGTCTAGAATTTAATTGTAGATTTCTTAAGAAATCTTGGAGAACAAAAAATAAATAATTATCGGAAAAAAGCATGTCCACTTAACATAAAACTAAAAACTAATATACTTACATGATGTTTTTCAAAATAAAACACTTCGCAATATTTTTTGTCCCCAATGCTTAAGACATACAGTTGAGTATGTCCCAGTTGAGTATTTTATCAGTCATATGTATATGCGCGCGCGCGCGCGCGTGTGTGTGTGTGGTGTGTGTGTGTAATTTCTTATATACATTCTATATTTCCATATTCTATCTATATTTCCATCTATATTTCCTTGTTTTAATGATATCGATAATTAGAAAAAAGTCTATGTATGTTGTAACTCTTCTTTGAACGCTTAGTTTTATTTTATACTTCTCCTGTTTTAATATTTATGAACCATTAAACAGATATATTTATAAAGATGTTCAAAGTCGACAAATATTAGAATAATCTTTTCAGATAATATTAAACCATACGTTAAGTATGAAATAGTTGATACGTTACTACGAACACTGAAGAGTAGTAACTTCGAATGTGATAATAAAATGGAAGTCACAATCTTTTATATAGAAATGCATGTTTTTATCGCCATGCATGATTTAATTCGCCATGCTTCCTCACGCTTTGATGTACATATAGCTTGTCCGCGGAATAAGGAAAACTTTAATATAAGAATTATTTAAAATAGAGGTATTGCTCATTTAAAAGATTTAGGATTGAATCATCGTTTTCATTTCATACTTGGCAAAATAAAGAATCGTTCGTATATATTAATGACTATATATTAACACGATTGTTGTGTGCTGGCATCTATTTGTAATATATCGTCATATAAACTCTGCAGAAAACAAAATTTATTTTATAATATATTTCTGTATGATCAAGCGTTGTATACATGTTACAAATGGTCAAAATAATGCATTAATTTTATTCGAAATTTTGTGCATGCGGGATTATATGTAAATCTCTACGCAACATACATTACATAAATCTCTTTGATCATCTGCAATTGTTATCTTCAAGCAAATGTATTTGCATGAAATTACAAAAAAAATTGTATTAATTTGTAATATTCTTAGATCTATTTGTTGTTTATTTTGTTATTGTGTATAATTGTTAATGATTGCTATTTGAGTCTAATAAAACTGCTTGAAATGTTAGTGCTTAAAATAAAAGATGTGTCAATTTATAATTACTTTTACCTTTTACTATTATTAATTACATTATTATTAATTATGAATTGCATGCAAAAATGTGTTTCTAATTAAAATTTGATTTTATAATTATTATCTGGTAGTTGAAACTCTTGTACGATGAAAAAAGTTTGTCATGTTATCAATATCCGGATAATTTCTTCCATACTTAATTAAAAATTTTTTCTTATTTTTATATAAGAAAAGATAAAAGTTTGCAATCATTAAGAAACTTTAAATTTTCTTTTTATCTAAGTTATATATTTTTTTATTTGTATAAGATTTTTTTGTCTGTAATTGACTGCAGTAATGGGAAACACGGATCTAAATCGAAAAACAAGAGTTTACTTTAAAAAGGGACATTCATCCTATAGTTGTTCGTCATAAAGAACCACTGATTCCTTTGTTTTCGGAACACCGCGCAATTATGTTTCGCAGACGCCGATAACTGTGCGTGTGCAGCGGCGGAGAAATACTGGATATCGATTATTTAAGCTGTACTATCGTCATCGTCGAGAGGCGCAAGAAGAAGTACGGGACGAAAAGAAAATTGCTTCTTCCTCAAATAGACATATTATAAATAGAAAAGAGCCAATGCAGAAGGAAAAAAAAAGGTTTTTAAATGAGGGCTGCACTAATTGGCTGAGTATGCCTCCCTGCAAAAACCCTCCATTCTCTTTGGGATTGCAGCCACGAAGGGCTGCGCAGAAGTGGCTCGCGCTCCGGGAAGTTAAGCACTCAAACTCTCGTTTGTTCGAGCATTACTTGCGATAATTATCGTGTCTCGTTATTCAATGATTTATTAAGGAATATGGAATAAGGAATCAAGAAATATGGAATTCTGCAAAAAATATTCTTTAACGCTCTTTCTTTTCAATCTTGTCATACTTATTAAAAAAAAAAATGGATCTTTGTAATGTACAATCTCGTTTGTAAAAACAAAGTAGGATCGTATACAAAAAAATATATTAGTATATTATTATTATATTGAAGAAAAAAAATGAAGGATTGGTGATTATTTCTATTAGTAAATTTCTCTTTTTATTCAAAAAATAAAAAAATTAAACTATTGATTGAGGAGAAATTAGTAGAAAATTATTTATTAAACTTTAAGTAAGTATATAGTAATTCTCTGCATATTTATTGTATAATTAGAAATATAATGTATACATATACAAATAAAATTATATTTAATATATCTTATATATAATTTAATATCCTCAATAAACATATATATTATTAATAATAATATTAACAAAATAAATTAATATTTACATGATTAATCAGGTTCTATCTTCACAGATTATTAAAAATAAATTGTTTATTAAAGATAGAAGAAGAATATAATTCAAATTGTCTGAAATTTTGAAAATTATAATTTAAATTTGATATTTAAATCAATCTAATTCAAAATCAATTACTTAAAAATATGTTAAAAATTATTCATATTAAAATTTAATATACATATATGTATCATGATATATTTTTATTGCAAAATAATTGAATTTCAGAAGACACTCCTATCATTACAGGGAAGAAAAGAAGATTATTTTTCTCATATCTATGTTTAATGTACAAATTATTCTTTCTTCCCTTCTTCAAAACATTATATCATATTGGTCGTCCAGTATTATGAACACTCTTCGCTTCCTTAGCGCCGATATTGCTGAAAGTCACCCCCCTTTGGCGCCTTTGCAATTACTTCTTCGCCGTTCCTTAAAGGAATCGAATCGCCCACTCTCGGCAAAATCAGCCTCGCGTTCTTAGTTCCGAAAACACATAATGGCGTAGCGCGCTGTATATAGATTGGACATTCATTCATAGAAGCCAACCTTCTGTCAATGCTCACCCCCAAGGCGCACCCCATCGAACGATAAACGGGGTGCGGACGGGGGTGGTAGCGGCGGCGGCGGCGGCGGCAGCGGTAGCGGCGGTGGCGGCGATTCGACCCCATCCGACATAGAGAAAGAGGGGTGACCGGCGACCCCGGCTTTAGTCGCGATGTGCGCGTCGCCCCATCGCAGTTGCTCCTTGTTTCGCATTTCCGCGGGATTCCTTGCCGACGAAGAAAAATTTCGCGTCGATCACGTCGTAAATCTTATTCTGATCTTACAGAATAATTTGAAACAGGAGTAGCGGTATCCGCGAATAATTCGATTAGATTGTTGTAATGAAAAATAAATTCTTTTTAAATTAACTCAAATAAACTCAATTTCAGTTTATTCAGTGATACGCCTAGTCTTCACGGTTGTCGTTAGCGTTGCGGTGTTGACAACGTTGACCCTAAGGAAACGATCGAAGACGAAAGAAAGAGCGTTTTTTTTATTTCTTGCCGTATTAATTTGAAAAATGTACACGTTGCAGTTATGGATTTACTTCTAAAGATTTAATAAACAAGAAATTAAAAGTTACTTTTAGTTTACTAAAGAAAAAAAGATCAGGAAAGAAAAAGAAAGACATAAGAATAGTGTCAGTTTCTTAGCGTTCCAACTCTCATAAACATCGGTATTCTCCCTTGGCGGGAGGGTAATTTCGAGTCCGTCGGAGGGTCGACCCTCGGAGCAGCGCGGGGATGCGCGCGAGGGTGTTTGTGCGGCGTGGATAGGCGAGCCGGCAATTTTGCGTGTGTTCTCGATATCGATTCTAGAAGGCCGTCGCCACCGTCAGAGTAATCGCGCACCCCCTTCGTCGTCCTTCGGTCGGCAAAACGACCGCTCGTTGACATCGTCGTCGTTGATACGCGAAGGGGGGATCGATGAAAGGCAAGATCGATTGATCGAATTGGAAAACTGGCAGTCAGATTCATCTGTCCTGTCTACGGAAAAGATCTGTGATTAATCGTGCCGGGAAGATGTGGACCGTATCGGGATAAAAATATTGCGTAAGCGTTAATTTTTAAACAACATAAATGTTGAAAGAATATTTCAAAGATGTTTCGAAGAGATTTTATTTGAAATTATGATACCTATCGCATATATATTTGAGGCGGTTAAAAATCATCTTTCACTTATCTTATGTTCTACGTTATATTTAAAAAATATTCAAAATGCTTGAAAACAACATAATTGAATTAATTGGATATTAAGAATTAGTAGAGATAATTTAAAAATAAACGTAGATATTTAATTTTTAATGAAAAATGTAATTTCAAATAAAAAATAATTTCAAATATATAAATTTATAATTAAAGCAATTATTTGGCAAAGTATTGCTAATGCGAAATTTTAATCAAATTTTTCTCTTTGTATCAGAAAACATATTTAAATTAAACTTTAACTCAGAAATTTGGTTAAAGAATAGAATAAAAAAAAAATAAAAAATAGAAATGAAAGAATAAAAAAATATTATATTAATACATAATTGTTACGCATATTTTAAAATGTTAATATTATCATATTAAAATATATTTTTGGCCATAAATTATCGATGCATCTTGTGCATGTTTCGCAATTGTTACTGTAAGAGTACTCGACGTTGCCCTATCGCACCTCCGATAGAAGGGCGATGTTTATCTGTGATATATCAATGTTAATCACCACTACGCGTGTTCACTGCGATAAGCAACGCGTATCTGTCTGTATGGGGTCGGTATTCCCTTTTGCACGCAGCAACGAACTCATTATTCCAATTGCATAATCGATTCAAATACCGCTTTTTACGTCATTCCAACACGTGGATTGTCCACACATACATATTATGTATCATCTATTAGCCTCATTTAAGTCCAAAGTACTTATTAAAAGCAAAATGAAATAAATTATATACTTGTCAGTAATAACTTTCTTTAATTAATCAAATAGTAAGAGAATTTCATCTTTTTTCTCGAAAGAAGAGAAAAATTACAAAAGTAATTATAAAAAATTATAAAGTAGAGAAATTAAAATCAGCAAAGATAATTATTTATTGAGCTAAATAATCCTTTTGCAGATTTTGATTTCTTTACTTTAATAATAATGTTATTTTAAATTATAGTAAATTAATCTCTTTACAATATTATATTTTATAAGTATTTATAATAAAAATTTTATATCAAATTTATGCGATTTTTCAAACAAGATATTTCAATAGGGAAAAGGAAAAATTTCACACATAGATCGCATTTTCTCGTAAATTAGCAGGGAACGCAAACAGCGAGAAATCCCGATTTTAACGAGCACATTTATAGAAGGGTCCACCATCTATTCATTTTTGTTTCGCGTGAAAAGAATCCTCAGGGGTTCGAGATACCCCGCGGAGACAGTCAGGTCTTTCACAGATATGCGCAAATATTTTGTGGACATAGAGGCGATATTGGAAAACGATTTAGACGCACATTACACTTTTTGTCGTATATATATATATATATATATTTCGTCGTATATA